GATGAACTCTTCTTTATATAAAGGCCTTCTCAGGTCAAATGTGATCTCTCAGACAGCTACAGCTTGGCTAATATTGTGTCTCATTATAAAGATAAGTGGGTAAGAAGTCTTCTAAAGTCATAAAAGAAACAGAAATACAAAAAAAAACTAGCTTTCTCAGTTAAGACTGCTGGGAGGGTTTTAAAAGTTATTAACTCTTAAGTTTTATACAGTCTTGCACATTAAGTTTCTCATCTTCCATAAATAATTTGTGTGCAATAAGTTTTTCATCACTTTAGTTTCAATTTTGCATGACTATTATATTCTTCTAGTCTGTGTTTTCTAGGTATTATGGAACAGGATTTGTTTTGTTAGATCTTATGGAAAGAAGTATTTCAAGTAATTGTTACAAAAAAACAAAAAACAAACGAAGAGATTCACAGAGGGAAAAGATGTACTTTGCTCAGATTTACATCCTGCAAAACTGGTCCCTGTTAAAAGAAACATAAAACGCGTATACCTGCGGTGGTGTCTATAAAATATCTTATTTTTAGGAGCATCCAAACTGTAAATCAACCTTTAAATGACACATTTAGTGTTAATATTAGTTAAGGAAGAAGAAAATTTGATAAATATTCCTGGCCTTTCTTGCTCTTTTCCTCTTTCTGCACAGGAGCGCAATGCAGAGAGCGCCATCGAGGCTCTGAAGGAGTACGAGCCGGAGATGGGGAAGGTGTATCGCATGGATCGCAAGGCTGTCCAGAGGATCAAAGCCAGAGACATTGTCCCAGGGGACATAGTGGAGGTGGCAGGTTAGGACAGGCTGGATTTTCACTCTCGCTCTCTGTGTCTGATTTACGCTCTGCACAGCCACGCTGCTACTGACATGCAGAGAAAAACACCGGCCCGGCTTTTTACTCTGCTTTCACCACTCTGGAAAAACTGGTGGAATATATCTCAAACATTATTATGTAACTTCTCTGTGGATGTGCAGTTGCCAGGTCTGATGTTCGGCCGTGTCTGTTTATGTGGAAGTTGCTGCGGTTTCTGCTCGTATTTAAAGCCTGGTTTAAGTTTCCAGAGCACTCCCTCTTCCCTCCGCTTTCCATGCCCTCAGTCTCACCACCTGGACACTGCTGAATGTTTGTTAACTCCTCACTCCCCCCCCCGCCCCCCACCCTTGCACACTCAACACACACAGACAATTCTCCTGCTTTACACTCGTCCATGTGTGGGCAGCTTAGGCTAAAAATAGCTCCCATTTGTCACTTGGGAGCTCCACCAACGTCTGTGTATGCCTGGCACACATATAGCAGGCCCCCAAAGGGGATCACACCAGCATGGTGCGTGTTTGTGTTTTTGTAATTGTAATCCTTTTCTGCGGCTGGGAGCGTGTTTCAGATAGTTGGAATGATTTATGGTAAAAGAAGAGAGTGCTTCCATCTACTCTGTGTGTGTGAGAGCCAGAGAAAGAGATCTCAGGCTGTTCATTCATAATTACAGTACAGAGAGCCTGAGAGAGTGAAGATAGCTGCTGTCATGCTATCAAAGCACCAAGGCTCAGAAAGTCGATACCAAACAGTAGATAAAAAAAAAAAACCTTTAAAAACTTCCCAGGGATGTCCTCGCTGACATTGGTTTCAGGATTAAACCACCTTGAGGAGCAAAATATAACGACTCACTGTGTTTTTTTTTTTTTATTTAGTTTTTTTTTTTTTCTCACTGCAGCAGTTACTTGGAATTTGGGCTTGTTGCAGCCAGTGTCCTCGATCACACATGAATGCACGCTCAGTCATATGAAGACAAGCCCTCACAGGTAAACTCGGCCCCTGCCCCACCACTGATACCAGCGCTGTCACCGTCAACACCCAGCTTGGCTCCATATCTGCAGCACTCAGAAGGCCTTGCGTTGATTCGTTGTTTGTTCTTTAAGGAGGTGTTGCTGCAGCCAGATCTCTGCTGATCTAAAGTTGAAAGAGTTGCAGGTGTGGCATTCCTGCACAAATATTTCACTTTGGGATTTTTTTGCGCTGTTTGAGTGGCTTATTAGGATGTTAGTCTTTAAGCTTAACTAAGAAATGGAAAGGGTTATTCTCAGTTTTCTTGTAGTGGAAAGATATAACAAGCAATTCTTCGACCTGATTGGGTACGTGCCTCCTATGTCTTTTTAGCCAATCACAGCAGCAGTAGCAGCTTAATTTGTTTGATTGTTAATGTAATTAATCAATGAATTAAACTGTTACCAAATATGTAATAGTCTTTTCAAGAAGTTGCATAAAAAAACTGGGGTTTCTGGTAAAAAAAAAAAAAAAGTTAAATGATTATAAAATTCAACTAATCTGATGGTTGAAGAACCTAAAAAATGGATCAAAATAAAGGTGTTGTTATTCAATTAAACAGAAGTTGAAAGGAGTGTTTTAAGTTTAAAATTTTTTTTTTTAAATTTTGTTTATGTTAGTTGTTTTAGAATAAAATGCGATTAACTGATTATAGACCCTCTATTAAAAATTTTAATCCAGTCTTTCCACTAGTTGATAATCCGTTTTATGTATGAAGTGACATTGTTTTTTTTATCATTGTTTTATATCATTTTTTTTTTTTTTTTTTATCATGTGAATGACGGACGAGAAATAAATATCTGCCGAAAGAATTGGCCAACACAAAAAAGTAATAAATAAGCAGCACAAGAATCGATTAGACTGATGTCAAAATAATCTGTAACAGCCTCAAAAAGCAAAAACTGGGTTGGTCAATCTCAATTCAGGACTACTTGAGCTGGATCTCCTTCCCTTAGGCGAACATTTTGTACAGGAGCCTTTCCAGATGAATACATGTATTTCAATTTGAATTCTTTTTTGAGTTTTTACTCGTTTTTATGGACAGTAGGCTGACAAGAAAGGGAGGCATGAGAGAAGGGGAGAGATATACATACATATCGTATGTGCTAACTACTGCGCCACCAAAGCACGCCCAAACAGTTCAATTTGAATTCTACAGGAACCAATCTGGCCTATGCCAGGTTATCTAAAGGTGCTGGTCATAAAATTAGAATATCATGTAAAAATTGGATTGATTTCAGTAATTCCATTTAAAAAGTGAAACTTGTATATTATATTCATACATTACATACAAACTCATATATTTCAGATGTTTATTTTGTTTAATTTTGATGATTACAAATGACAACAAATGAAAATCTCAAATTCATCATATCAGAAAATTAGAATATTACTGAAGACCAATAAAAACAAAGGATTTATAGAAATGTTGGCCAACTGAAAAGTATGAACATGAAAAGTATGAGCATGTACAGCACTCAGTATTTAGTTGGGCCTCCTTTGGCCTGTATTACTGCAGCAATGCGGCGTGGCATGGAGTCGATCAGTCTGTGGCACTGCTCAGGTGTTATGATAGCCCAGGTTGCTCTAATAGTGGCTTTTAGCTCTTCTGAATTGTTGGGTCTGGTGTATTGCATCTTCTTCTTCACAATACCCCATAGATTTTCTATGGGGTTAAGGTCAGGAGAGTTTGCTGGCCAATTAAGAACAGGGATACCATGGTCCTTCAACCAGGTACTGGTAGCTTTGGCACTGTGTGCAGGTGCCAAGTCCTGTTGGAAAATGAAATCTGCATCTCCAAAAAGTTGGTCAGCTGCAGGAAGCATGAAGTGCTCTAAAACTTCCTGGTATGTGGCTGCGTTGACCCTGGACCTCAGAAAACACAATGGACCAACACCAGCAGATGACATGGCACCCCAAACCATCACTGACTGTGGAAACTTTACACTGGACTTCAAGCAACGTGGATGAAGTGCCTCTCTTCTTTTCCTCCAGACTCTGGGACCTTGATTTCCAAAGGAAATGCAAAATTTACTTTCATCAGAGAACATGACTTTGGACCACTCACCAGCAGTCCAGTCCTGTTTCTCTTTAGCCCAGGCAAGACGCTTCTGACGCTGTCTGTGGTTCAAGAGTGGCTTGACACAAGGAATGCGACAGCAGAAACCCATGTCTTTCATACGTCTGTGTGTGGTGGTTCTTGAAGCACTCACTCCAGCTGCAGTCCACTCTTTGTGAATCTCCCCCACATTTTTGAATGGGTTTTGTTTCACAATCCTCTCCAGGGTGCGGTTATCTCTCTTGCTTGTACACTTTTTTCGACCACATCTTTTCCTTCCCTTCGCCTCTCTATTAATGTGCTTGGACACTGAGCTCTGTGAACAGCCAGCCTCTTTAGCGATGACCTTTTGTGTCTTGCCCTCCTTGTGCAAGGTGTCGATGGTCGTCTTTTGGACAACTGTCAAGTCAGCAGTCTTCCCCATGATTGTGTAGCCTATAGAACTAGACTGAAAGACCATTTAAAGGCTTTTGCAGGTGGTTTGAGTTAATTAGCTGATTAGAGTGTGGCACCAGGGGCCATCAATTTTGAAACTTTTCACAATATTCTAATTTTCTGATATGATGAATTTGAGATTTTCATTTGTTGTCATTTGTAATCATCAAAATTAAACAAAATAAACATCTGAAATATATGAGTTTGTATGTAATGTATGAATATAATATACAAGTTTCACTTTTTAAATGGAATTACTGAAATCAATCTACTTTTTCATGATATTCTAATTTTATGACCAGCACCTGTAAGCTTAATGTCTATAAACAGGACTTGGGGAGTTTCTATTGGTCTCTTGGGATCCCATAAGTGAGAATCAGACGGTAATTAAGGAATTCACCATAGGTAAAGTGTCGTATTCTTTGTACTAAGACGGTTTTTAAGCTTTAATATCCCAAGTGGACCAACACTTGTGATGTCTGAGAAACAGCTGCAATAAATGATCTCTAGGCATGGCTGCTGAATGCACTAATAAATCAGCGAGTGCTTGCATGTATCCGTATATACTGATTTATCTAGTTGTAGAAGGATTCAATCTTCAGCGTGTTTGATTTCCTGCTGAAGTTGTTACTATGTCCGAACTCAGATTAAACTTAAGTTCCCTCTAAAATATGCCAGAGAGGAAGTAACCACCATTATTTTTGCAACATCAAATATTTTTCGAGGTAATGTGTTTGGACTTGATCAAAGAAGTGTTTCTCATTTCTTCACTCTTCTACCAAGCACACATTAGTCAGGGATTATGAATAAGATCGGATTTTAATTGTTTATGTCTCTGCAGACTTCTACTGAATAGATAGTTGGCCATTTGATGTCCAGTCGGCAAACAGCAATTCCAAAAAAAGTCAAAAAACAATCTACTGGACTTTGTTTCCAAGTTTGAAGACGTTTCGCTTTCCATCCAATTCAAAATGTCAGAAATAGCATTGAGTTCCAGTCTTTATACAGTAGCCCAACAGAGCCTTGTTGCTGACTCTGCGGTACATCCACACCTTATGGACAAACGACATTCTTTTGAGGACCGGAATGTTCAGATTATGGATAGATAAAATAGGTGGTTTGAGAGGGGAGTGAAGGATTCCATCTATGTAAAGAAAAAAATAAGCAACCTTAAACAGAGGGGGTGGACTCAGCTGCTGAATTGTAGGTTTTTGAGAGTTGAAATCTGAGTAAATCCCTTATTGCTATCATCGCAACCCCAACCCACGGTGTGATTTATTTTATTTTTTTTCCCTTTTCGGGGCGATTTTTTTGTTGTGCGAGAATTTTCAGCCTGATAGTGCATCGTGTAGTGCACAGGGGTTAACGAGGTGCAATGAGCCTCTCATTACCACCTCCCTATCAAACATCAGAACATGTTTGATTTTCTCCCGACCGTTGTGGGCAGTTCTTTCTGTAAAATTGACATAGAAGTCACATT